GGGAGCCCGATGCGGGACTCGATCCTGGGACTCCAGGATCATGACCTGAGCCGAAGGCAGTCGCTTAACCAACTGAGCCACCCAGGCGCCCACAAATGGAAGTATTTTGTGTGTAAGGCCAGGAACTGGGATTTGGTGAAGTGTGTTCAGTGACTTGGCTCTACGGCTTGATGCAAATACACCAAATCACAGTCCCTGCGGCCTTTCAAGGTGTCTTTAAATCTGCAAACTGGTCAGTGGTAACCTCACACCCTCACACTAGACAGCTGGGGTCACGGAAACACAAGCACGACTTCATTTTCTAACCCGAGTAATCAGACCACCCAGCAGTTCCTGTGCGGCCTTAGAACACTTTCCCGGCTTACCTGATACTGCTTATTCACTTCGATGAGGGAGGCAAGTTCTGTTGAGTTATCATCAGGCTTCAGGACACAGGGGCAGAGGTTTCTGCGGACCAAACCAAAGAGATGCCTCACCCCACCAAAATCACCATCTAAATGCATGACACGGACTTGAGATTCAGAACCTATTTGACTTGGAGGTGTTGGAAGTCGGCGGTAAGGGAGGCCCCGGCTGCTAACCTGTCCACTGCACCAGACGGAGCTGGAGAAAGTGCCCCAGAGCCGCATTTTTGCATGAACATGAGACAATTACTTCTAACATCTGCAGGAATGACTTACAGAGCTGAGTTACCTTGTGACTGTCTGAGGACAGACCGTGCAGCTGAGATAAGGCACACCTACTTTAAATAACAACAGCAACAACAACACTCATCATAAGGGCTCACACATCCTAATGCTCACCGTGCAGAGAGCTTTATGGATATTAACCCATTTAATCCTCTTCGCAATTCAAGAAGTTGTATCATCACCCCCATTTTATAGATGAGAAAACTGAGCTCAGCATGGTTAAGTACTTGCTCAAGGTCACATGGAGACTAGGTGTGGGAGCCAGGACTTGAACTCAAATCTGTCTGGTCTGAACCTGAGCTCCTAATCCCTGGTTAAACTGCTTCTGTCCAGTCTGCACCTCTGCTCTGTTTGGTCATCTTGCCCATCTGGGTTTTTTTTTTCCAGGGGGTGAGGGGATGATAGTGTGGATGGCTCAGAGTAGACTCACGCCTCCAAGGAAAGCACAACCACGGAGACAGAAAAACAGAGCGGCAGCAGGACAAGGTGACCCGAGTCTGTCTCACCTGACAGTCAGTGGCTTGGCTGTTTCAGAGCTGAGAAGGGACCTGGCAGATGCCTTCTCTGAACCGTTAAATGTAATTGTCTAAAAACCCTGCAGTGATGGGCAGCAAGAGGCTTTTGGGTAAGGTGCTCTGAAATGAATACACTGAACCCCCTGTGTGGCCCAGTGACTGGAGAAAATGGGAGCCAGGGGATGAGTCAGCAGCCGAAAATACAGCACGCCTGACACCAGCCACGTTAAATGGCAGGTGTCACTCGGCAGCCATCCTCCCGCTCACGGTGTCCTCAGCCTTTCCCCGGGGCACCTGTGCAGTCTGGGCCCCCAGGTGAGGTCTGGCATGCATCTTCAGGGTAGCAGCCAAGGTACCCCTTCATTTCCAAGAGCAGATCTGGCCCCTGTGAATTATTCATTCCCTCCTTCAGCAAACAGCCACTCTCTTGCACTAGTAGGGACTCACACCGAGGGCAGGGCTGTGGCGGAGGCAGGTGAGTCATCACCACGTGCTGTGCTCGGGGCTGTCGTGGGGGCCTGCCAAGGGCTACAGAGCTGGGGAGGAAGCTGGGGGCGGGGCCACAGCCATCGGGACCTGGGCTACGGGTCCAGAGGCGGCTTTGCAGGAGGGAATGCTGACAGAAATGCTCATGCTCAGATTAGAAGGATGTCTTAATCCTGAAGGTCATGGAGATGTGTAATAGAGAGGGAGCCACCTTTGTCTGGCCCTGGAGACGGGGGATGAAGGCCTTTCTAGGGCCTTCTCAGGGCCAGAGCTCTCTGTGCTCGGGGAAGACTCTTCCCTGATCATCCTCTCCTCCAGCAAGTGACTGTAGCCCTACAGTTGTGAGTGCCCAGCCTAGGACACCCACACCAGATAGAGAGGCTCCCTCTGTCCTGGAGATGAGCCTCAAGGACGGAGAAGCTCTGGATACACCTGGTGGTGGCCTGTGAGCCCGGCCCACACAGACCCACTCCATTTCTCACGCTTTGCCCTTCCCTCCCAGGAGGACTGAGTTGCCAGGACAACCAGGAGCATGGTCGGGTTGTGACACAGACTCCGAGGGTAACTGAGGCCCACCTTGGGGTCACAAAAACCCATCAGGCCTCGTCAGTTTAGAAAATGGGGTGGTCTTAGCCCTCCTCACACATCTACCCTTGGACTTTCTAACGAAGCAGAGTTGCTTTCTGCTAAGGGTCCCCTGGCGCTTTAGGGAACAGGGGCAGAAGCTTCCTTCTTACCTGAGGATCAGCCTTGGGCAGCTGACTTCCTTCTCCTGGTACAGCTCCCTCAGGTTGATGATCTCCAGAACTTTTACCAGGTTCACAAATGCCCGAGGAACCTGAGCAAAGGTGAGGCCAATCCCCAGGAGGATTGAGGCTGGTGGCCCCAGTCTCTCATCTGGGTCTGGGACCAGCCTCTCCTGCCAGATACCAGGTCTGTGGTCTTTCATGCCCCTGTCTACTTCCTTCATTCCTCCTGCCCTGCCTCCCCCCTCCCGCCCCCCATTGACCCCTGTGTTCAGGCTCTGGGACCAGGACAACAGCATGGTCAGTGCTGGCTTCCAGGGAAAGGCAGGCAGGAAGTCAAAGCCCCCTCCAGGCCAGGTCTGAGGCCTAAGAAGGACTGTTGGCTGAGCTGCTTAGAGGCCACACCACCCAGCCTACACACCTCAGCATGGAGGATGTCCAGAGCCTTCCCGATGTTGTCTGTGAAGTTCTGGGGAGAGTAGCGGACCTGCGGGAACAGGGAAGGTCTAACACCATCCACCACTCAATCTCTCTGCGGACCAGGCCCACCCATGTCTTGGGTCCCCTCCTTCTTGTATGTTAGCCAGAATGGGCGACATTGAAACATAAGGTTTGCCTTTGGGGCCCCCAGCGTCCAGACCAACCCCACCATCCTTAGGCTGGTCATGGTTGTGACCTCCAGGAAAACCTCTTTTTTCTGCATGGAATTATGGAAAGCTCTGGATCCACTCCACATTAACTAGATGCGGGGACTTAGCTAAAGCCTATTACATCTTTGGGCTCCTCTAGAATGGGGTGTTGGAGCACGGGACCTCTAAGATCTCCTGCAGTTTGAATATTCTCTGGTCCTTTGGCCGAGCTCTTCTGCCTTAGAGCCTCAAGTACCTGGGGACCTGTTGCCCCATCAAATCATTTAAGGAGATAATCGTAGGGGAAGAGGGTCCTGTAAATCCCCTCCCTCAAGCATAAACGCATTTTAATTGTTATTTCTTCTGACCTCCATACTTGGTGGCTTTTATTTTATTTTATTTTTAAAGTGGAACCCTTTCTCTGGCTGAAATCTAACCAAGAGCCCTGCTCTACCAAATGAATCAAACCTAGCATAGAGGACATTAGGAGAAGGAAGGGAAAAATGAAGGGGGGAATAGGAGGGGGAGACGAACCATGAGAGACTATGGACTCCGGAAAACAAACTGAGGGTTCTAGAGGGGAGGGGGTGGGGGGATGGGTTAGCCCGGTGATGGGTGTTAAAGAGGGCACATTCTGCATGGAGCACCGGGTGTTATACGCAAACAATGAATCATGGAACACTACATCAAAAACTAATGATGTAATGTATGGTGACTAACATAACAATAAAAAAATTATAAAAAAACAAACAAACTAACGTTCAAGAAGTGGAGCCTGGGCCGTGGTCCAACTTCCCTGCCTGCTTCACTAACAGCCCCAGGCCCACTGTGAGCCTGTCACATCACAACCTGAAAACCCCAGACCCTGGTGACTTTGATGCTGTGACGGGTCTGGGGGGCAGGGTTGCCCCTCGGGGCAGAAGCTCCCAAGTCTCAGCAAGACTCCCCACTTCCTAAATTTTGCTCTGCTGATCCTCTTTCTGCCTGACAAATGTCATTTTCCAGCCCTAGTTGGAAGGTGTCCTGCTCCGTGTACATCCCTGACCCCCCGCCCAACCCTACAAAATACAAATTCTCATGGCCATTCTTACTTTGGGGCCACAATGTTGTCCTTACCATGTTATGGTGAATTGTCTCTACCTCCCTTCCTGACTGTGAGTTCTTTGAGGACAGAGCTGCGAAGCTTAGCACCTAGTACAGTGCCTGGAGTATAATACGCGCCCAGCAAATGATACTAGACATTAAACACATTCTGTTTATCGGAAAACACTATGAACAAAATTAAATGGAAAACAATAAATAGGTAACATATTTGATAAAGGGCTAGTATACTTAATATAAGGGTTTTTAGACATCAATAAGAGAATGATAAATACCTTAACAGAAGAGAGCCAATAGCCATCATACAGAATTTATCAGGAGGAATTTAAATGAGGATTAAACAAGCAAAATAAAGGTTTATTCCTCCCTATTAATCAAATAAATGCAAATTTTGAAAACAAGATAAATTTTTTCATTTATTAGATTAGCAGCTATTAAAACAAATAACATACATTGACAGATGGAGCGTGAGGAGGTAGACAACTGATACCAACATTCTGGAAGCAGGTTGGCAATCTGTATCCAAAGCACTGAAAGTGTGCAGAGTCCCCACCCCCCCAGAATAAGACGGATGGATAAATACATGTTAATACAGCAACATGTTAACAACTATAAAACCTAGGCGGTGGGTATATGGGCATTTACTACATAATTCTTTCTTCCATTTCTCAGTATGTTTGGAAATTTTTGTGATAAAACAGTAGGGGAAATGTACATATCTTCTTGCCTAAACGTCTTACTACTTAGAATATATATCAGGAAACAATTATGGATGCACATAAAGATGGATGTTTCTCCTGGTGTTATTTATTTATTTTAATTTTTTTTTTATTTCTGGTGTTATTTGTAACAGGCATAATTAAAAGCAATATAAGCTAAATATGCAATAATTGGCGACAGTTAAGTAAAGTGTGGCCAATATAGGTTACGGGCTAGTTATACAGTCATTAAGAATTATTTTATGGAAAACTACTGACATAGGATCATCTTCCCAATGGATTGCTACTGAAAAAAAAAAAAAAACAGATCACCAAACAATATTTCCAGAATGATGCTATTTTTAGCAAATAATAATTTCTCCATTTTCATAGAAAAATGCCAGAGAGACACTTAACAAAATGTTAGCAATGGCACTTCTGGATGTTGTAATTACAGAAAATATCTTTTTCTTTGTGCTTTGATGTGTTTCCAGTGTGTATTGCTTATAAAATAAAAATAATTTTAAAAGCCTATTATTTTTAAAGTCAGCTGAATTGAATGTAGAAGAAGTGCAGGCATGCCAACATGGGCAGAAAAGGTGGAAGTTACAAGAAGACACAAACCACTACCAAAAAATTGATACTTGCTTATAATACTAATTAGGGCAAATTAAAAAGCTGCCCATCACTGGGAATATTCAATAGCTAGGTTCTAGGGAAGGCATTCCTGCCGCAGGTGGGAGTGTGGTCAATAGGGTTTGTGGGGTTTCTTCCAGCTCAGAGATTCTGGGGTTCCAGGAAGAAGCACCACACCCACAGGGCAGCAGCCTGGCTCTTGGGGTTCCCATCAAGAACCCCATCGGATTGACTTGGCTCTGAACCACGCCTAAATGCTTGCAGTAGGAAATCAACTTTCCCATTCAAAATAGAGACGGTAAGGCAGTTCAATGCTGGAAAAAGGAGCTGACCTATGATCTATATGAAGATAGATACACCTGATTTTTCTAGATCCTTGGAATGTTATCTTGGTTTCTAGAATGCTATGATCAGACTCTCTTGTTATGAAACCTAATCAAGATCAATTTCATAACCAGTTTTGTTGAATCTTTCCCTGGAGGTGAAGGCACTCTTGGTCTCAGGGTTAATTCCTGGCTACAAGCCCCAAGTCCCAATCCTGCTTCACTTGCTCTAGCCACCTGGTGTGGAAATGCCTCCCTGGGGGAGTCTTGAGTTAAGGGCCTGGAGACTCACCGGGTCACTGCAGAAATCACAGAGATCATTGCCTCCTATGAACAGGGTTATTATCTTCCAATCTTCCTGAAAATTTATCTTCTGAAATGAATAGGAAACAAACAAGTAAGTGCCTTGCTCCAGAGTCAAGTCAAGAAGAAGATAAAGTGCTGAACACTGGCAGGGATGGGTCCTCACATACCAGAGGGTTTAATGGACATTACTATTTTCTGTTCTGCGCTTTTGGGGTCCTGAGGTTATAGGTCACCAGTTGTAGGTGCAAGATCACTTGTGGTTTTTAAAGGTGGATTCTCTGGACTTCCATGTGGTCTCCGACCCTAACCCTCTCTGTCTCCACGGATTTCTCCGGCTCACTCCCTCTTCCGGGGAATGCTAGCTCAAGGTGTCCCAGGTGGCTCTTCCCCCAGAATTACCGTATCATTCTTCATCAGGTCCACCAGCCTCCTGGCCTGAACAGGTAAATCCCTGCGGGCACACACACAAACAGAAGTCATCTGAGGAGCAGGGACCGTGAAGCTGGAGCAGGGACCATGAAGCTGGGGCAGGGAGGGGACTTCGCGGAGACAGCAGGAATCAAACATGCAGCAGGATAGTTGGACAGAAGGCCATGCTCCCGTCCCAGAGCACCTTCCCCATTCAGTCTCCTCTGGAGGTGGAGGGCTGGGGTGAGTTGTGACCATGCTTTGGGAAGGGCAGAGCATTCCACATATAAGCGGGTGACTTAATGGCATGTTTCTCTTCTGAGCCAGGCTCATTCGGGGCAAACAGAAGGCTGCATGTACATTCCATGTCACGCACGGCTTGGTATGAGCCTGATTCTGTGGGTGCCGTGAGCTTCACCTCCACGGTACCCTCACCCTCAAGGTGACATGGTTGAGTCAGACACACCTGGGTTTGACATTTAGTTGCCTCCTGCTAACTGTGGATATGTAACTTAAGTTCGCCGTCCCAAAAGACTGCAAACGTGGAGATAAACCCCTGTATCTTCAGGGTCCTGAGGAGCAGTACATGAGATGAGCAAAGCAGCCTCACGGAGTAGGAGCCCCTCTTGGAGCCAGGCAGCACGGGGCTGAATCCTGGTCCCACCACTGACCAGCTGGGAGAGCTTGACAAAGTGCTTAACCTTGCAAACCCTCAGTTTGGTCCTGTGTAAGACGGGCATGGGAAGCATACCATCTTCATAGAGTTGTCGGATGGATTAAATAAAGGACTTAGAGCAGCACGGGGTAAGCATCCATATCAGAAATGATCCACTGAATTACATCTCCTAACACCACCACCACCATCCCCGGTCTCTGGCACCATCCCAGCAGGAAACAGCGGTTGTCATGTATTAACTATTAACCCAGCTGGCCTGGTCTTAGTCACAGGGGACTAGGTAGGTATCAGATATCCTGGGCGGGGACTTGGGGTAAGCCATATAACCAACTTGCATCTTGGTTTCCTCATCAGTAGAAGCCATTGGGCATCAGCTCTGAGGACCAGAGTTTGATGATCACTTGACCTCTCTGCGCCTCAATATCACTGTTAAGAAAACCTGGATGTCTGACCTGCTAACAGGGGCTGCACAGAACACGGGGCTAGTAAATGTGAAGGTACCTGCTATGTTGGTCACTGCTGTTATGATGGGTTATTACCGGACCTGGGCAAGGGCCTGCTGGGCACAAGGACAACAGGCCACATGGTCGAGGTGACACATTTGTTCAGGCCACTTTGCCTCTTTGTGCTACAGTTTCTTCATCTGTAATATGGGAGTAGTAATCGCTAACTCTTCCCTATGACTCAGGATGTGCTCAGACAGAAGGATTACTTGCACAAAAGGGCCCCACGGCCTTGAGGAAAGCAGGGGAGAAATCCAGGGTCATATGAATCATGAACTTTATGTTCTTCACCAAGGTTTCCTTCTTGGATGCCTCCCTGATCTAATCATGCTTACAAATACCTCTCTGCATACCACCAGCTGACATATGCTTGGAAAAAAACAAAATTATGGTAATATTAATGCCAAAATTTTTAGGCAGTCAACTGGTAGCCTTTCACCCTTCTCCCACCAAAAGGAAAACGTAGCCACAGAATTTATTATAAAATGGATTAGGTTTTACAAAATCTGATTTGGATGATTCCTGTCCTGAATAAATGAGAGTAAGCATATACTTGGCGTCAGAGTAAACTGTGAGTAGTTCCTGGGGTGGGGTTGGGGATGGGCTAGTAGGTTTCTGTGTCCCACAGTGACGGACACCCCAGGAGAGCTCACCCAGTCCAGTCTTTGACCCCCAGGCCTCTCTCTTGAACCAAGCCCCCAGCCATCAGCCATACACCCCAGTCCAGGCCAAGCCCCTGACTGGGTCCCCAGAGGATCTGTGTGGTCACCCTCAAGGCTCCCCTGCTCACTCGGCTCGGTCTCCTGCTACAGCCTGATTTAGGAAGGCTCCAGGACTGTTTTCTTTCCCGGTGCCAACAGAGAAGCCCCTCAGGGAAGGGTTGAATTCCCGGAGGATGTCTGGAAATACAAAGAAGAGACACCCTTAGTAACTATCCCAAAACAAGCTTCAAATTCCTTTGATAAGTTCCAGTGCATGTCAGAGACAAGAAACCCTCACCCTTAAAGCTCTTAACCTTACTGTTCTCTCAGTATGGAAAGAAAGCGTCTAGCAGGCTGATGCTTAACCACATGGGCAACACACAAAGGTGCTTAACAAATTATTGCTGAATAAACGTGAGTCTGGGTTTGGTGCTTCTCTCATGCATTTTTCTTTTCTTTTTCCTAAGATTTTATTTATTTATTTGAGAGAGAGAGAGCAAGCGCGCGAGAGCACAAGCAGGGGGAGTGGCAGAGAGAGAGGGAGAAGTAGGCTCCCCACTGAACACGGAGCCTGACTTGGGGCTTGATTCCAGGACCTGAACTGGTGGACTAAAGCACTCAGGTGCCCCTCTTTTTGTTTTCTAAGTACATAATAGTTTTTTGAAATATAATTCACGTACCATAAAATTCACAATTTAAAGTGCAGTTCAATAGCTCTTAGTATGTTCACAGAATTGTGCAACCATCACCATAATCAAATTTAGAACATTTTCATCACCCCAAAAAGAAACCCTGTGCCCAGGAGCAGTCCCTCCCCCTCCCCTCCAACCCTGTGGTGACCGCTAATCTACCTTCTCTCTATATAGGCTTGCTTGTTCTAGACATTTCCTATAAATGGAATCATACGTGTCTTCTGTGGCTGGTTCTTTCACTTGAAATAATGTTTTCAGTGTTCATCCATGTTATAGCATAGATCTGCACTTCATACCTTTCACTGGCAAATAATATCCCATTGTGTGGATATACCACATTTACCCATTCATCAGTTGAAGGATTTGAATTGTTCCCACTTTTTTTGGCTATTATGAATAGTGCTGCTGTGAACGCTTTTGTACTAGCTTCTGCGTGAATTTCTCTTGGATATGTATCTAGGAGTGGAAATGTTAGATCATATGGTAACTCTGTTTAACCTTTTGAAAAACTTACAAACCTTTTTCCAAACGAGTTGTGCCAATTTACCTTCCCATAGGAGCATTATGAGGGTTTTAATGTCTGCACATCCTCACCAACTTTTATCTTTTTTAAAATAACCATTCTAGTGGATGTGAGATGGTATCTCATTATGGTTTGGTTTGCACTGATGGTTACTAATGTCGAGCATCTTTTCATGTGCTTGTTGGTCACTTGCATACCTTCTTTGGAGAAATGTCTATTCAGATTCTTTGCCCATTTTTAATTGGCCCAAATTGAATTGTCTTATTATTGAGTTATAAGAGTTCTTTGTATTCTCTAGATACAAGTTTCTTACTGGATATGATTTTCAAACATTTTCTTTCACTCTTTGGGTTTTCTTTTTATTTTCTTGATGGTATCCTTTGAAGAAGCTCAAAAGTGTTTAATTTTGTCCAGTCTATTTTTTTCTTTTGTCACTCGTGCTTTTGGCATTAGATCTAAGAAGGCTTTGTTTAGCCCAAGGTCATGAAGATTTGCTCCTATAATTTCTTCTAAGGGTGAATTTTAGCTCTTACATTTAAGCTTATGATCCATTTTGAGTTAATTTTGTATATGGTATGAGTAGGATTCCAACTTCATCCTTTTGTATATGGCTATATAATTATCCCAGCATCATTTATTGAAAAGACTATTGTTTCCCCATTAGTCTTGGCACTCATGTTGAAAATGAGTTAACCATAAGTATGAGGGTTTATTTATGGACTTACAAATTCTATCCCATTGACCTATATGGCTATCCTTATGACAGTACCACATTGTCTTGTATTGGAGCTTTGTAAGTTTTGAAATTGGGGATTGTGAATCCACTGAATTTATTGTTTTTCAAGATTATCTTGCCTATTCTGGGCCTCTCGAATTTCCATATGAATTTTACAGTCAGCTTGTCAATTTCTGCAAAGAAGCCAGCTGGAATTGTGATAGAGATTATATTGAATCTGTAGATTAATTTGGGGGATGTTGCCATCATATCAAGTCTTATTCATGAACATGGGATGGCTTTCCATTTATTTAGGTCTGATTAAACTTCTTCCAGCAATGTTTTATAATCTTAAAAGCATAAAAGATGCACTTTGTTAAATTTATTCCTAAGTATTTTTTGATGTTATTGTAAATGGAATGTTTTCTTTTAATTTCATTTTTAGGCTGTTAATTGCTAGGGTATGGAAATACAATTAATTTTTGCATATTGATGTTGTACCCTGCAATCTTGCTGAACTCATTTATTAGTTCTAATAATTTGTAGTGGATTCCTTCGGGTCTTATTTATAACAGCTGCAAATACAGATAGCTTTACTCCATTTCTAATCTTGATTGTCTTTTCTTTCATTATTTTGCTTAACTGTTCTGACTAGAACCTCCAGCATAATGTTGAATAAAATTGGCAAGAATATACCACTTGATCTCAGAAGGAAAACATCTTGTCTTTCCTCATTAAGTGTGATGTTAACTGTGGGCTTTTGCAGATGCCCTTTATCAGACTGAGGAAATTTCTTTCTATTCTTAGTGTGTAGAATATTTTTATCATGAGAGGGTGTTAGTTTTTATAAAATACTTTTTCTCATCTATCGAGATGATCGTGTAGTTTTTGTCCTTTATGCTTTTGATATAGTCTATTATATTGATTTTTTTATTTGAAACTAACCTTACATTCCGAGGATAAATCCCATTAGGTCATGGGGTATAATCCTTTTTATATGTTGCTGTACTTTGCATGGTAGTATTTTGTTGAGGATTTCTGCATATATATTCAAAAGAGATACTGGTCTGCGGTTTTCCTTCCTTGTGATATCTTTGTCTTATTTTTGTTATTAAGATAATACCAGTCTCATCGAATGAATTGGGTAGTAGTCCCTCCCCCTTCCATTTTTGGGAGGAGTTTGTGAAGAATTGCTGTAAATTCTTCTTTCGGTGTTTGATAGAATTCACTAGTGAAACCAGAAAAGCCTGGGCTTTCTTTGGTGGTAAGTTTTAAAGTTCAATCACTTTGTTACAAATCTATTCAGATTTTCTATTTTGTCTTGAATCAGTTTCAGTAATTTGTGTCTTCCTAGGAATTTTACCATTTTCTCTAAGTTATCTCATTTATTGGCGTACAATTGTTCAAAATACCCTCATAATCCTTTTTATTTCTGTAGCAATGTCTCCTCTTTTGTTCCTGATTTTGAGGCTCTCTTCCTCTCATCCCCCTTTGGTCAGTCTGGCTAAAGGCTTGCCATTTGGTTGATCTTTTCAATCACATGCACTCTAATGTCTTTACCACATTGGATCTACACTTGACTTTTCACTTTTCCATCTCCGAAGCTTGGCTGAGAACTCCTGAGAGCAGGGTCCGTATACACCCCAGACTCTCACATATGCTCAACAAATGCTTATGGACTGAATGAAGGGTGACTCAAGGTTGAGGAAGGCTGGGAGATTTGCTACAAGTCATGGGGTTACTGAGAATGAATTCCAGGCCAGAACTCTACTCTCTCAGCTCCAATACAGGGCACTTTCCCCTGTCTCACAATCAGCTAGGATGTGGGAAAGGAACGGGCTAGGTACCAGCCGGTACTCTCAGGCATCAGGCCATCCAGCAGAGTGCTCTCTAGAACCAAGCCCTGCAGCGGGACCTCCACAACACATATGCATTGAACTCCTTCCTTCTGGCTTTGGGGTCGCTGTGCCCAATGGATAGAAATTACTCCGATTTCTACTCAATAGAAGGAAGAGCTGTGAAATCACTAGAGCCATCTGCAAATAGAAATGATTATCTTTGGTTCCCCATTACTGGAGGAATCCAGCACAGACCAGCTAGCTATGTATCAGGAATGTCATAGTAAGGCGCTACACATCGTTTAGAGCAAAAACTTGCTGGCGCATGTGGTTATCTGTGCCAGGAATGTGCCATCCGCTTTCTTTACCTGTTAAATTCTAGCTCTTAAAACCCCTTTTCAGAAGGTAGGGTTAACCACCTTCTTATTTATTTTCCCCTAAACTTTGTTCATAGCTATAATTGTTGGTACGTGCATCTGTCTTTAGGGCGACATCCCCCAAAGAGACTGTGATGATGGCTTGAGGGCAGGGATCTTGCTTCACACTCCTATTTCCCAAGCATCCAGAACTGGAGTCTTTGCAGGGTTAAATTGAAGAGGGAGTCAAACTGAGCTTCTGTTCTGCTTCTCGTAAGTTTTTAAACACATTTTCATGTAGTTATTTCCCTGGGGATTATCCGGCCCCTACAATCAAACTGTCTTCACAGCTCTAGTAAGGAAGCGTCTGAACAGGCAATGATCCATTGCTGGGCCAAGTGTGTCCGGGGAGTCCACCTGGGGGTGGGGGCTGGCACTGTCTCAGTCCTTTGTGAATCACTGCAGTGAAAGGTCTTGAGCCTTTTCCAGCCATCTTATCCACAACAACAGTGCAGGAATCGGCGAGCCCCGCAAGCTGTTGTAGATGCTGGGCCAGCTCTCAGCCCAGTCAATCACACTCACAAAAGCAACCCAAACCACCTCCCCTAGCAATAAAGACAGGGAGGATTTGTGCCACCGGACTACACCTACTTACATTCAACGGGATTTGCAAATAGCAAAACAGATATCCCTGTGTGAAGCCCAATCAGTCCTGCCCACGTGGAGATGAAGCCATCTCTATCATCAAAGTCTTGGAGCCTTAAACCTCAAATACCTTCTTAGCTTCTAAAGATATGTTACAAAGGGATCATTACAAGAAAAGTAAATGAGAATGGGACCAATTAAGTTCTTAGGCAAAATTATTAGCTAGAAGGTGTGAAGGGAAGATAATTTAACGGTAACATTTCGTGCATGTGTGCTTTAAGAACAGGCACTCTGATATGTATGCACTAAGAAGAAGAAAAAGACATGTAAGAAGACCATTCAGAGAATGGGGCTCAGGCTTAAAAAAAAATCATTCCCAGCAGGCCCCTGGTGAAGTAAATTCAGGAAAATTTAACGGGCCCCAAACCCCACTGTGTTTGCACAGCCTGCACAAAGTAACTTCAGCTCTCACTGCCGTAAGAGCAGCATCTCCTAAAGCCACACACGGGAATTCAACGTCTTTGTATGCAGTGGCGCTTAATGCAGCCAAACCCAGATCAACGCCTCCCAGAAAGGTGCTCTGCTCAGAATGACAGGCAAAGCGGAGATGGGTGCCCTTTCCTTCTTTCTGGACTCATTTCCTGACACTGACTTGCACTAAGATTTGGTCTGAACTCTCTTCTCCTCTCTGACTCTCTTCCTTCCTTGGACAAATGCAATTTCTAAAAAACATCCCTCCGAGGCTTTCCTGACGCTCCCCAAGCAGAGCAGGGCCAGCGCCTCGGGGACGCAGCGCCCCCTGGCGAACGCGGCCGAGTTGCGCCGCCCGGCTCCCTGCCGAGCCCGCGGCCGCCACCAGGAGGCGCTGCAGAGCCGCGCAGAGCCGCTGCGAGCCCACCCGCCAGCCCGGAGCCCGAGGGAGCGCGTACTCACTTGGGAGGGTGGTGACGCTGCTGAGGTTGTGATCGCCTCCGCCACTGCGGTGCGGGAACAGAAAAGAAAAGGGAGGTTGAGAATGCCAGCGACGCCAGAACAGCTCAGGCGCTACCAAGACAGGCCTTTCTTCTTCTGGGAGACACCCCGGGGCCTTGGAGCTTGCCGGGTCCTTATTGCAGTAGAAAACCAAACCAGAACTCAGCAACTCCTCTGCTTGTCCCCACCAACCGGAACAGCCAGCCAAGAAACGGATTTCCAGGGCACGGCAGACTTTGTTGATTTGTAACTTTGAGCGTTGGCATTGGGGCAGGGGGGCCAAGTGGGCCCCTTCGCCCCTCTTTTTAAGGGAAAGCGACCCTTCCCTGGATGCCGAGCCCAGTCGTGCCCCACTAGCCACTGCCGCTGGGCATGGCTGTTTTCATCGAAAACAAGAGTGGGGAGCTTTGCCCTCATCGCTCTCTTCCTATTTGGCTCGTGAAAACCTGCTGTTAAAGGGTGTCTTCTAGAGTGCAACCCATCTTCCAAGCTGCTCCTAAAATTCCAAGGAAATCAGAGTTGGATGGGTTTCTAGGCATGAAAATATGCAACATTCCAGAGTTTATTGGATTCCCTGCTTTTCCATATCCCCTCATTCTCTGCCAAGTGTGTCTGGGAACATTTCAAAGGGTCTCAAAATGTTTGGGGTTTATTTCTGTGCAGCATCACGAGGGAGGATGCCAGGGATTCAACACTGAGGTTCAGTCTGGGGCCAGAGATGCCAGATTCCGGGCTGAGGAAACAGCAAACCTGCCCTCTCACGTTTGGCAGGAGCTGGGTGTTCAAAGCACGAGTCCAGTTCCCTGCAGCCTGTGGCAGCCTGGATTTGATTACAGCGGAGCAGGAACAGGCCGGCATGAGGCAGTCACGATGGGGGAATGTGCCAGATTAGGGGTTGGGAACGATCTGCTCTACTTTTTGCTCTTTTACCATCTGGCTGTGTGACCTCAGACAGGTTACTTGCCCTCTCTGAGCCTCGCCCTTTAATAAGGATGCCAGCTACCATTTCGGTCTACTTTGTGTCAGGCACTGCGCTGGATGCTTAAACTCTCTTTATTCCTCATGACAGTGCTCAGGCCGTATTAGTATCCCAGCATCAAAGGTAAGGAGACACGCTCAGAGAGGTTAAGTAACTTGCTCAGGGTTGCACAGAGCTGGGCAGCTAGGATTCAGGCACAACTCTGGCTTCAAAGGCCACTGCCTCCTTCTGAGCTTCTGCCCCGGAAGGAGAAATGAAAGCTAGGGAAGATTTTCAACCCAAACATTTATGTAGTTTCTCCCCCAAACTCCTCCTGCTCAGGTCTCAGTTCCTGAACTGGGGAATGTAGTGGTTTGGGGAAGCTTTGCATTCCTTCCTCAGAGTAAACCAGAAGTGTCTCATTGAAAACCACTAACCAGGTGGCTCATCTGTCTGCTAGAGGAATGGTTTTCTGTGATTCTCAGGGGTCATCCCCCACCCTGCAATGAAGGGGTCATTCAGGGTCTTGTCACATCTTCACTCACCTCCAGGACAGGCCTCGGTACTGAGTCAAGACATCCAAGATGTCCCCAGGCTTGGATCCGGCCCCATTACCTGCCTGACAGGGAATACCGAGGGGTGAGTCTCCCTGCCTGCTGGCCAGAAAATCCCTGTTCTGGGTCTGGCTGGAAACGCCTGGGCACTCTCTAGAATCTAGAGTCGAGACAGCCCCCGGTCTTGATGTGCGTCCTGCCTTGGCAGAAAGGAGTGAGAGCTCCCGCTGGGAGTCCTGGCGTTGTCCACAGCTTGGCCTCACCCTAAGAAACCCTGCCCAGACCCAGACCAGGTGACACCAGGCTAGCAAAACTGCTCTGGAAATTAGACGGCGTGTCCGTTTTTCCAAAAGACATATTTTGGGTCTCATTCGCCTCATTTTTAAAAGTTGTGAAACACAAGCATATCACAGTCCTTTTATATCGATGTATCTCATGTATGCACAATTTCAAAAACAGTAAGAAAATAAAATGCCATGTCCCTACCCCTTAGTTGAAGAGAGGGCACGGTCTTTTAAAACCGCAATCTGGACACACTCTGCAGGTGCACGTCCCTTGCCTAAAGCGTGTTATTTCTAAGCAGGGCCATTGCAAAGGTCATGCCGAAGACTGGCCTCCCAGACAGCTGGTGGGGGGCGGCTGGCCTCCATGAGAGGACCTCCCCACGCCATGGGGGTGACCCCTGCTCTCGGTGCTCAATTCCTCTGCCATTGGCCGTGTATGTTACACCCCAAATGCTGCCTCCCACAAAGTCCTGAATAGCTGTGCAGATTCTCGATGAGTCCTTCTCCTGAGAGCACTTCAAGGAGACCAGGAATTGGGCGGGGAGGCAATACTGGGCCACACCCAGCAGGAAGTGGTTGGGATAAGCAGTGCTAAGGACCAGCTTGCCTGGGTCCTTCCGGAAAGTTACGAGCAGTAGGGTGTTTGGGGTGAAGAGTCACTGAGGGGTCATGGGGGACACAGCTCCAGTATAGGGAAAGGATTCTGGACTTGGAGTCAGGCTGGTGCGAGTCCAGCATCTGTGAGCTATGCGGTTGTGGGCACTCAGTTCACCTGCCCGGCTTCACCTCCTTTCTGTGTTAAGTTTAAGGAGAGTCGCAGTTCATAGGATTGCATGGACGATGCCAAATGAGATAGATCAAATGCTAAGAGGCCACAGATGTGAAAGGTGTCTGCTGGCCTTTGGGGAAGGTTCTGCTGGAGGCCCTGAATTCTACTGACCCGGAGAACAGCAGCTGGATACGTCTGGAATGAGCCGCTACTGAACAGAAGCTCGTGTCTGGGAGCCTCTGGGACCCTCCACCCGGTCTCTCTAGGACCTGAGTTTGTTTTTCATGGAGAGCATTTGGCAGGCCTGAGGGGTCACCATGGAGTGGCTGCAGAGGTGGGCTGGGATCCTTGTGAGTACCTCCCTCTCTTCTACTCAACCCTCCACCCAACCCACCCCCACCCCATTAGCACCCGCTCCTGGCTCATCCTCTCGTCACCCTCCTTTAAGTTCCTCCATGACAAGCGCCAGGTCTTTGAAGGAGCCCCACACCGTGAGAGAGACTTAGTCCGATCCACCCACCTGTTAGGCTGTGAGATCTGTCACAGCTGCTCCCTCTGAGTCCCACCCCTCCACTTCCTACTTGCTCCTTCATTCCAGCATTGGGAGAGGAATACGAGGTTAGGATGGACGTGGGGAAATGTGATGGGCAAGGAATACTGGTCCAGGGCAGGCGGGCCAGAGAGGAGCCAGAGATGGCCATGGTTGAGAGTTCCCCTCTCTGGGTTCCCCTGTGGATCAAGATCACCTTCCACGGTGGGGGTAACTCACCGTGAGAGAGTCACCCAGGGCTCCGATTACTTTGATGTCAGCCGGCTTCAGCCTGTGAACTGAGAATGCACACCCAAGTTAATGGCAGACAGGGGTTCTTATCTCCTCTGAAAATGAATGAAGACCTTCCAGGGAAATGGAGAGAAAGTCCAGTTGTAATAGCAGTTCAGCTTGGACAGAAATATTAAGAGCCCATCCTCGTCACAAGGCTCCATGGTAGGACGTGGAGCCCGCACTTGCCTCCTTGGGGCGCCTGCACACAGGTTCCGGAGCTGGACGGCAGACTCCTCTTCCAGAGTAGGGTCTGGGGCCTTTGGTGAAATCTGATGCTACAAGGTGAGCAGTTACCATTGGGGCCTGAAGCAGCCCCTGGCAGGGTGGTCTGGGAGTAAGGCAGGAATTGTGAGAGAGATGCAACTTATTGATCTGGATTTACCTACTCTGGATATTTCATATAAATGGAATTATACATCGTTTGACCCTTCTGTGTCCGGCTTCTTCCCCTTTGCATAGTGATTTCAAGGTGCACCCGTGTTCTAGCATGTGTCAGGATTTTGTTCCTTTTTATGGCTGAATAATATTCTCTTGCACGGATATAACCACATTTTATTTATCCATTCATCTGCTGATGGACATTTGGGTCGTCTCTATCTTTTGGCTCTGGGGGTAGTGCTGCTATGAACATTCACATGGAAACATTTATTTCAATGCCTGTTTTCAACTATTTGGGGTATATACCGAGGAGTGGAATTGGTAATCCTATGATAATCCTGTGCTTAGCTTCATGAGGAACCACCAAACTGTTTTTGGCAGCCCAACTCTATTTTGTTCATCTTTTGAGTCTCAGCATGTACTATAATGTAGCCCATCAGCTACTTACTCACATGACAAACATACTGACCACCGAACAGTGGCTGGGTGCTCTGGAGAGGATAGAGTGATCAGAAATGGAGAGAGCGCTCCAGAAACTCACAGGCTAAGGAAGAAGTGAGACACGTCCAGTTATAATTATTTATAAGCTGATAAACCCTGTGGGAGATACAGAGTGACATGAAGTTCTGGAGTTGCAAGAACGATTTACGTCTGGGCGGCGTGTATGTGGAGGGTGGCTCAGAGCAGGCTTCATGGAGAAGGTAGTGTTTGAACTCACGGCATGATGAGATAAGGATGGGGGAGAGCGAGGTGGGGGGATGGAGGAAAAAGCATCAAGAATGCCTGTGGTGGACTGTTGAATCACAGATCTGTACCTCTGAAACAAATAATGCAATATATGTTAAGAAAAAAAAAAAGAAGA